AATAGCTAAGTTAAGGCAATGAGAAGAATCTGGAGGAGGATGCTTTACAATTCCTAGTATGTCATTGGAAAGCCACTCACTGATATTTTTTCTTTATTGGCCCATTTTAAAGTCACCTCTTTTTCCTTCCATTTGCCTTTTTTATTATGTTGCCTTGTAAAGTGAGCATGTACTTTGTGGAAGCAATAGGTATCACGCAATGAATGAGTTAGCTTGTCACTGCGATGGTGCATACCATTGGTTTTTAACTACCTGGTGTCAGGAAAATTCACACACACCGAAGTCTGCATTCAGTATCAGATTGAGGATCCCAGATACATCGATTCTTTCAAGACTGTGTTCTTTTGTGCACGGGCCTCCATCTGTGTCACCTAAGGCCAACCTTTGGGTTAAGGTACCTGGCACTTGTCTTTTCTCTCTGAATGAGGTTGAGTCCAGCTGGCTGCTGTGGTCAGTGCTGACCCTTCCAGGGCAGCCCCCGCACAGTTGGGATCTCTGCTGCTTCTGCTGTGGTCCTCCTCCCCTCCCCTGCGCCCTCTTTTTCTTTTTACTTGCTGTTTCTTCTCCATCCTGTTGAATTTCCCACTTTGGGATTTTGGGATGTGGAGGTGCTCCAGCCACTCCAACTGTTCCTTGTTTTCCTGGAGCACTACAAAATCCCAGTGTAGGGAGGTCAGCTCTCAGCCTGTTGACTGGCGACAGTGTTTGCCATTGGCTATGGCCGTTTGCTTATCCCAAAGCTGCCTTTTTTGTTAAGCCCTATGTAGATTTGGAGTTACTCAGATGCAAGAGAGATAGGGTTTTATATATTTGTCTAAAGAACTTCTATTAACATGCCATGGCTATCATATACACTCTGCAAATTAGTTTTCTTTTTCATCCTTTCTAATACTGGGCCCACTTGATCAAATTTTAAAATTTTAACTAGGCAAGAATTAGCAGTGACATAAATGTACATTTGCAGTCACCGTTTAAAAGTTCCAGATATAACAAATTTGGTGAAGAAATTATGTATTTGCTGATAAGGTTGTAAAGAAATGACTCGGAGTAATGTTATGTGGAATTTTAGTTAATTTCATAAACTATAGTTTTTCATTGGTTAAAACTATAATAGTGCTTTGTTTTTACCTTGTGAACACTTTTTTAAAAAAATGTATGCAGGGGTCTGTATTTTACCATAACTGTTTATCTCTAGGTTTATAATTGTTGATGCTAAAGCCAGGATTCTCTGAATATCTATTTGCTTTTCAGCAAACACTGCTGAATGGACCATACGATTAAGTCAAAAAAAAAAAAAAAGAAAAGGAGATATAGAGACTGAGGGGAAGGACAGAAAGATAAGTAGGTGGAAAATAACATTTACAGCAATTTCTATAAAACACTCAAATAGTTTTAATATAGTAATAATCTTTTGTTTATTTTTAACATATGGCCTTATTTTTCATTAGTCAACAATGTACTTGTTTATTTTCAAACACAAGTGATTCATCCTAGTAGGTAAAACATTGGATAAATACTTGCAGCACTTTCTCCTTGAGAACATCTAGTCGCATCTTGGTTGCTTCCTAGGACATATGATACCTTTGGTCCATCCCTTCATTACGTGTTTAATCATAAATCCAATCAGAAATAGAAGTGGGCTTGTGTTTTATCTTCTTTTTTTGTCTCAGTCAAAACCATTGCACCCTTTTACACTAAATATTTGTGTTATTGTCCTCTGATGTTTTCTCATTGTGCATAACAAGTCTTCCCGCTTTAAAAGAGCTGATTGATGGCTGTAAGAGAAACCATACTCTGGAGTGCACTTAAGGAGAAGAAAACCACATATTTAGCTACATAAAACAAGTATCTGTTTTTCTAGCTTTTAAAGTAAACTCCCTGAAAAAACACCCATATATGTATTTAAAACTCTCATCTTGCAGGTCAGCATGTTTTCATGGAGAAGTATTAAATACAGTGAAGAGAAGGGGGAAATTGATTCTGTTTCTTTCAGAAGCACCATGTACCAGGCACCCTTGTAGACCCAGGGAATATATGGTGAGCAAGATATACAGTCTCTACTCTCAAAAAGCTTAAATTCTAGTAAGGAGAAGCAGACATTAAAAATGTAGGCAAATGATGGGAATTTCAGTAACAAGAAAATGTGATGGTTAGCAAAGAATGTAAACGGAGTATCATTTTCTAATTTACAGTTTAAAAAATTCTGGCTACTATGAGGGAAGAGATTGGAAAGGGGCATAAACTAGGTTGATGTATGTGGAGACGGAGGGAAGTGGGGAGAACTTAGAGAACTGACGAAGGCAGAATGAAAAGAACTTGGTAACAGAGTGCATAAGGCAGAGGATGGTATGGGGGGTGACTCCAGGTCTCTGACTTGAGCGAAGGGATGGAAAGGATGCTATTAGTGAAGATAGTAAAGAATGGAGGAGGAGTACTTTGGGGGCAGGAAGGAAGCAAGGATTCAGTTTTGGACATGGTACATTTGAGATGCCTGCAAAATCACCAAGGAAAAGAAAAACCTTGAATGTGTTTGCAAAGTGAGTCCGGAAGAGGGGTCAGGGCTGAGGTATGACTGTGGGTGTCGTTGGCACGAGGATGTATCTGAAGCCATGGAAGACGATGAGATCACATAGGAATGAGGATAGAGTGAAGCAGAAAAACTTAGTCCAGGACTAGCTCTGAGATATACCAGGCCTTAAAGGGATCTGGTAGAGGATGTGTAACTGACAAATGAGACTGAGCAGGAATGGCTAAAGGCAGTTTATTTGCTAGAAAAAATCATATTTCATGATCATAGACCACACAGTCCTGGCCAACTCTCAGCCACAACCCCCAGTTGGCTCTGAAAAAGCCTTCACTAGCACTAGAAAAGAAGTCTGCTGTGTGCATGTCTTCCCTTTGTAGGGGGTTGGCGCGGGGGTGACAGCTTCCTTCTCATTTTGAAAGATGACTGCACCAGATATAACACAAAGAATAAAACAAGAGTGTGAAGCTGCTGCTGTGTTTCCAAAGCAGGGCTTGAAGTTCCTCTGAAACAAATGTGAAAGCCTCACAGATCAACTTCTCTGTCCTGGTTCAGATGTGGTTACCAGTAAATGCGGAACGACCTTGCTTTCTTGGCAGCAGTCTTACCTTTTCTGCTTCTCTTGTGGGAAAAAAATACAAGTGTTGCACCAGAGAGTTTTTGTTTGGTCTTTATGTTTGAAATTAAATGGGATTTAATAAGAAGAGTAGCTGAGAAGAGGTGCAAACTTGTAAGCCCAGTCTTGGGAAAAGGAGCACAGAGGAATCTTTTGAACTGCTCTTCCTCTGGCTTCAATTATTTCACGATGTACTACACTATTTCCATCTAATACACATTGCAGTAAATTCCAGATGGCATGTTTGTAGACTGTGCCATGGTCTCATAGATTAAAGGCAGAATAACCTTTCCACTTCATAGAAAATGAATTCCTGAAATCTAAGTTATTTGCTGTGTATCTGAAAATCTGGGTGTATCCCTTTCTGTATAAATCAGTTTTATTTATTTGTTGAGGTCTGTATCATGAGTTCGGTAATGGACATAGTCCCTGGTCTTAATAAGGTGATATTAACTACATGTGTGCCATTTCTTTTGCTACCAGTTCCTTAGTGTGAATTAACCCACATGCTTTTTGTAAACCATTGGAGAGTAGGAATAGACATGGACTACGGCTTAAATGATGAAGCATAAAAAGCTTGGAAACCTTCATAAAGTTGCCTATTTCTCATGCTTTTTCACTTTCCTTTTCTTTTTCAAAATATATTTCATTTCTTCTTCTGCAGTTTCAGTTCATGTTTCAGAAGTTTAAATATTGACATTTGATTGAGGGTACCGTTTCTAGTTCAACCAAGATGTTCTTTCACTCTGTATGGTCCTGCATATTTAAGGATGATGTTCTGGTCACCAGGAACCACTTTGCAGATACCTATGCTGTATACCATGAGCTACTTTGACCCAGATTTCAAATCCAGGGTGGCATTTCCACACTGAGGGGGTGAATCTTCTGATGTATACTTCAGCCTGAATTTGGAAGCAACAATTTCCTAATGTTGCTAGCCTGTCCAAACCAGAAATGATTTTATATCACTGATGCCCTGAATCATTTCTATGTAATCCAGGTTGTTAAGTCTTTTATCTTTCATTATTAAATGATTGCTTTCCAACACCCAGGCCTAGGCTTATACACTGGCACATGCAGAAAGAACAGCTGTTCCTCGATGCAAAGGTGGAATTGAAGCCCTGAGATCTCCAGCTCTGAGGACCTAGGAGAATGGGGTGAAAGTAGAGTGTAGTGGAGCAGCAAGCACAGTGTGTGTCGGGCTGGGAGGCATTAGAGAAAAACTAAACTTGGTGTGGGGAACAAACCCTGGCTGAGTATTTTCACTGTACTGGCCAGTGTCTTGGGAAATTTGACTTTTTGCACGTATATTATAAAGCAGGGCTCTCATTTTGATTTGCTCCTATGAATTTGTCATTTTGCTCAATATTACAGCTTTTTCATCTGTCCTTCTTACATTTAAATGAGTTTCTTTAAGTTGTTCTTGGTAACCGTTTACCAGAGGACGCTTATGGAGTTGATTTTATACTTTTGATGTATTTCTTATAAAGTTTAGCTAAAAACTTACTGCCTCATGAGATACACTGTTTTTATAATCAGGAAGTGTTATTCTTAAGAAGGTTGAACCCTTTAACTTCTAAACAATATATTGACTCCATAGCAGAAGGTATAAAACGCTTGAATTGCCGAAGACCTTAAAGATGATGCATAACAGCCTATCAAATTCACAAATGAGAACCTAATGCCCAGAAAGAAAAGTAGGGAATTTTTTTTTAGCTCTTTTCTGAACAGAAACTATTGACCGTAGAAGGGAAGCAAAGCATAGTGGGAAGATGAGAAGGAAAATATGCCTTTATATCTGTTTTTTAATTTGCTCTGTCGCTGATACTGACCTGTTGTTCCCCTACCTTTGGTTTTTAGTGGCCACAGATGTCTTTAATTCCAAAAACCTGGCCGTTCAGGCGCAAAAGAAGATCTTGGGTAAAATGGTATCCAAATCCATCGCCACAACCTTAATCGATGACACGAGCAGCGAAGTGCTGGATGAGCTCTACCGGGTGACCAGGGAGTACACCCAGAACAAGAAGGAGGCGGAGAAAATCATCAAAAACCTCATCAAAACGGTCATCAAGCTGGCTATTCTTTACAGGAATAATCAGTTTAATCAAGACGAGCTAGCGCTGATGGAGAAATTTAAGAAGAAAGTGCATCAGCTTGCTATGACCGTGGTCAGTTTCCATCAGGTGGATTACACCTTTGACCGGAATGTGTTGTCCAGGCTGCTGAACGAGTGCAGAGAGCTGCTCCATCAGATCATCCAGCGTCACCTCACCGCCAAGTCGCACGGACGGATTAATAATGTCTTTGATCATTTTTCAGATTGTGATTTCTTGGCTGCCTTGTATAATCCCTTTGGGAATTTTAAACCCCACTTACAAAAACTTTGTGATGGTGTCAACAAAATGTTGGATGAAGAGAACATATGAGCATGTGAATTAAGATTGTGACTGCTCGTGATTTATTTGAAGGTGGAGCACTGTTGATTTATGAAGGAAAAGAAGAATTTTTTGAAGAGAATACATATTTCAGAAAGACTTTGCCCAATTCAATTGTCAGACATTCATGATAATCTTCTATGAGGCTTGTTTTATTTGAAGAAACGCATATTGCCAAGCACTGTGGTTAAAAGCTTCCTAAGGGTTAACAGATCATGTGAAAGATGTCTGGTTGCATAATGCAAGGATACAGTTATACAAAGACAAACATGTATGGCTCCAAACCTCGAGACATCTTTTTTAGGGCAGTTGTTGTTGTGTCGGTGCCACATTGGATATTTCTAACATGTACAGAGTTACGTATTTTGACTCACTTTTATTCCTTACAATGTATATGTACCTCTTTTAAAAAGCCAAGAACTTTCTCTTGCTGTCATTTCTCCTTTTGAAACAATTCCATTTTCAAGTCTACCTTTTGTTAAAGATTCTTTTGTTAAAGATTTTTGTCATTGACATTCAAGTATGAAGGCAGTCAAATTTGAACCCTCAAAGAAATAGAAAACTGCTTCTCTGAAATCAATATTGTAGAAACCAATTCTATTGGACATTATGAATAATGTCAAATATAAGAATATGCCTCTGGAGTTGAGTCCTGTTTTTTAGTACCAACAGCAACGCTTTTCAAAACGTGATAATCCCCCGAAATTTAATGGCATATACCATTGCCTTGAAATGCTTGCTGAGGGCTTAACTTCCATGTTATTTTGAAAATGTGCTGATGGAATCTTCATTTTTAACATTCATTTCAAATGTAAGAGACAAAGAGGAAATCTGGGTAGTTCTTGATATTAGGACAATAAAAAGTAAGTGGTATTAAGAAAAATAAAATAATCTTTATTTTAGATATGAGCCCATCAAAATAATTTAGGGGGATCAGGGGCAAAAGGGAAAAAAGGATTTTGTTACAGAACACAAGAATGAAAATAATGCATTTCAATGTTTAATAAGGTTTGATAAATAAAGAATGTCACTTTTTTATTTAACTGATAAGGTTTTTGCTATTTTTTATTTGCTATTTTGATGAGTAAACCAAAGAATATTTGCATTTTAAGCAGTTTGTGTGTTGTTTCTATGTAATTCTGTGTGTGGGGGTGTTAAGTAAACATTTGCTTATTTTGTAAAAAAAAAAAAAAAAACCTGCTGGCCAACAGGACCTAGGAAATGAGACTCAGCCACCAGCACTAAATATTTGTATTGTCACTATGTCTGTGATTTAGTGTCCTCTTGCCGAATTTGCCTGCCTTCCAAAATGTTGACATTCAAATAATAGTGCTCCAGGAAGGGGTCCCACAGCTACAAATTCCAGAAGTTGAGGTCCACTAGAACCCACTGCAGCCTAGAGGAGGCGGTCAGTTCCTCTGGGACCCTCATGTGCTTGTCTAAGACAGCAGCGGAGGCAAAGAGTATCTCCCTGTTTGATACTAAATTCTGACATAAATATTTGAACTTAAATTACTATTCTTACTATCTAGGGCTGGTAGGTGAAGGCACTGCGCTATAGAAATAGCAGACTGACTGCAGAAATGACCCCTCTAGCTTCATTTCCTGCAGTTTCTTACAAATTTAGTTCAGCAGCCTTTCTTGACCAGCCCTGCTTTCCTCACGTGAGAAAGCTGAGAGTATGATCTGCAGAGCTGCTGATTTGGTGTGTCCTGTTCTCTGCCAGATCTCCCTCAGCACTGGAATGGAAAATGGAGTGCTGGGCAGTTGGTGGGTCCTGTCCAGCTATGGACAGGACAGGACCACCAGGGAGAGGACCTAGGGATAAATATAGATCAGTCTGGGCACATTGGATCACAGAATTGTGCCTGCAGGTTAGCGATCAAATATACACGGGGGAGGGGTAGAGGTACACTTTTTCTCACACTGAAGGCAGGCAGTGAGGAGTATCCTGAAGGAGGAGACCTGTTTGTTGTTATCTCTAGGCATCATCTTCTGGAAGGAACTCATCCCCTTACCAATCCTGTGCCTTGGAGGCCTGCCTTAGGAGGATCCATTACAAAGTCTTGATCAGCATGTTCATCTTTGTGCAGGAATTTAGTTGCCAGGGGTAAGGAGGTAGGGAGGTAGGGAGGTAAGGAAGTAGGGAGGAGGGACAGGTGGGGGCCAGGTAGAGCTGGAAAGAGTCCAACTGTGCTTAGGTTAGATCATCCTGAGCCAAAGTGATAGTCATTTTGGGGTCTTATGAACATTTATTTAAAAGATTGAGTCTTTTTTATATTTTGGAAAAAAGAGTTCTGTTATAAATTGACTTTTTAAATTTTGTGCCAATGGCTTCTCTGCAAAGATTATAAATTAATCTAATAGATGAGTGATAATTCTAGTATTAGAAACTGACCCGGTGGTTATTTTGTGCCAGGCACATTAACTTATTTAGTCCCTGCCACAACCTTCACCATTTTGCAGATGGGGACACTATGGCCAGAGAAGTTAAGGAATTCGCCTGAGGTCACATAGCTATTAAGTGTCAAGACCACAATATCAATAAAACTGTATTTTCGTTTGAAGATAATAGGGATAAAGGCAATTCTGGAAACATCATTGGTTCAGACAAGAGTGGGCAGTATGCTTCTGAAATGGTTTTCACATAGTGACATTTTAGGTCATATTTAAATCCTACAGGTGTGTGACCTATTCTCTGAGATCTGGGTATAATTTATAAAAAGATATTTTATGACATTTTTTGATATGCCTCCTCATCTGGGAGCATCTCGTGGCTCAAATTTCTGTCCCCTCTGGAACTTAAAATCAAGGTGCCCACAATTAACAATGGCTTTGAACATTGACCCACAAGGTACAGTGCACCCCAACCCCTAGGTGGTCTTCCGCTGGACGCACAATGCGCTCTTGTGCACACATCCAGGACAGAAGCAGCAGCTCACCACTGTGTCCCCAGGGAAAGGGATGGTGCCAATTTGCAACTTCAACATTATTTTATAGATTTTGAGGTTGGAAATACCTGAACAGGTAAGTTTAAAGATAGCCTTGTGTTTTTCTTGTGTTTTAGACCTTTCATATACAACTCAACTTTAGTTTTTTAAAAAAGCAAATGTTAGGAACTTTACTAGTACAGAAATAATGCTCTTTTTTTGGTTTTATATAACAGTATCTCATTCACAATTATCTAGAAAGTTTTTTTTTCCTCCCACCATGACTTAAAAAAACCCACAAAGCTTAAACTTTGTGGTGGTGTTTCCCTTGCAAAGGATTATTATAATTTTGTAGTCTACATTTCAAGTCAATTGCATTTTTACTGAAAATTTAAATTTATACTTATACTTGATGAGAGCACATAAGCTAGTTGTAATTTAGCCTACCAACCTTGACAGACCATGAATAAAAAATGAATGTGTGTCTCCATCTGATGAAATACTTGCAGTGAAAAGTTAAGTGCTATTTAATTGCTAGGAAATTAAAATATTCTAATATAACAAATTTAATTAGCATGTTAATAGGATTTACAATATTTTTACATTTTTAGCTAATTTTGCATTTCCAAGCTTGCACTATCTCAATTAGTTGAACTTTGAAGTGTTTGAAAAATTACTGCTTTACTTAACGTATTGTGTTCCTGAGCATAAAATTTCTGTGTAATTTGTTAAGCTCAAAATAGGTTGTAACACCCAATGCTGTTTATGATGGGTAAAGTTTTATCCTAGCTCTAAAATAACTTTCTTACTGTGATTCAGATAAAGTCTTTATTAGAAAACCCCTAATGAAAGCCCTGGGGCACTAACTAGAAAAATGAGTCAACTTTTTCTTTCTAAAATGGGATGGAAAAGCCTCTCGGAGCTTATAATAATGTGTCACCATTATGGCAAACTATTGAAAATCCATTTTCTCGTTTATTGAGGTGTCATCATGGTTAGTTATGTAGGCCCAGAGCCAGAAAGACACTTTTATTTTGGGGAATTTCCCAAAATGGAAACATTTTTCAGTGATGGAGACTTATGTCTGTCTAGCCAAAGATGTGTTTTCCATTCAGCAGTGAGCATCAGTCCCAAGTTATAGGGGACCAGTCACTCCAAAAACAGCCCGTCTGCTGAGCACTGAAAAAGGATATGTACAAGTCAGCCAACATTCACAGTTAAGAGAAAAACATCTGTGCTTTGGAAAAACGTTCCTCAAGTACAGAGAGAATTGTGCTCTGTGTACACCAATTTCCATTAGATCTTTATAAGATCAGCCAGCTAGTGGGTAAGGTCCCCTCACCTTCCCTCATGGGTGGCTGAGGCAATTAATTCCCTCCTTCCCCACTAACAGCTGCGTCACTATTTTTCTGTCTCGTAGAAGTAAGGTGGCTGATCGGGCACTTAGGGTTTACTCTTAACACAAGGGAAAATACTTGATTTCAAAAAGTGTGTGTTTTGATTTGCAGAGTGATCTAAGACATTATTATTCTCTGTACTTTGGTTTTTCCATTTTAAAGCTTGTAGCTGGATTAAGTCATTTAAAACAGCCTGGTGAAGGTGTAAACACAGGGCTCGGAGCAACAGCTCTGAGCCTACGTGCCTCAGTTGTCACGATTGTCTGGGATGATTGGTGTTTTATAAGGAGCTGAGGTTCCATTTTCCTGGAAATGTACTTTCATCAGCCCAGCAGGAGCCACTGCTTGCCCATCATAAGTGACTGTCAGCCTCTTTTGCTGCTAAGATCACTCGTTTTCACCAACGGATAAATGCTTGCCAAACGAATTATACGTTTTTATGACATTAAATGTCCTGGAAGAGGACTTGCTTTTAATTAGATAGAAGTGCCAGCATTGTTGCTGTTCCCTTATCACCATGATTTTCATCTCACAGGACACATAAACTAATTACTAAAATTCTGCAGCACACCAAAAATATGTAATATTTTTTGCCAATCTGACACTGGACGGCTATTGTTGTGTTAGATGTTGCCATTTTGGTATTTAACAATTGAAGGGAGAAGAGGTCAGTGCCCCTGGCTAAATAGTCGTGTATTTCATGTTTTAAAAATTCTTGCAGTGCACCCATGGAAAATCACTGCCATATCCTATGGAAATTGTGTTCTCACAACCGAAGAGTCACATTTTTAGCTTGCTGAAATACTCACTGGAGGATATGCAGTTAAGTCCACAAGTGGAAACATTCCATAGTATTTTCAAACACCATGTGTCAGGAGTTTACCATCTCTCCCTCCTGGGGACTCACTGGAGGGTGGCCAGGTGGAGCCCAACAGGGCATGGGGACATGGGCTGGGGCAGTTTCCAGTGTTTCCAGCTCCTTGTCTGCCAGGGAGCCTTCTCACCTTGTTTCTAAAATCTGGATAAAATCAATTACCTCATTCTCATTTTATGGATAAATTAAACAAAACATGGAGGGCTTTGAAACCTCCTGAAGACTATTCATGTGTGAGGTATTGTTTACCCAAGCAATGAAAATAAGTCTGGGGCCTAAAATAAGCAACAGACTTCCGCAGCCTGAGAGAATTTTATTTAATCCCAGTCTCCTTTAAAAAATTGTTTTTTGCTTTCCATTTATAATGAATGCCTACTATGTGCCCCTACTATGGGCCATGGAGTGACACAGTAGCACCTAGTTATTGTACCAGAGGAGTTTGCTGACTCGGGGGGGACACCAACAAGGCCACAAATAAGTTAGTACTAAGCTGGGATTCCCAGGATGAGGATGATCCCAAGAAAGGTTTTGTTAACCTCAAATATGCTTTCTGGCTTTAAAACTTTCAGTTTTTGAGTTCTATTTTTATTTTTTATTTTTAATTAATTTTATTTTTAAATCATGTTTATTCTATTACAGTTGTCTCAGTTTTTCCCCATTTGTCTCCCTCCACCCATCCCATCGACTCCCCGCTCCCACAGTCAATTCCCACTCTATTGTCCATGTCCATGGGTCAGTCATACATGCTCTTTGTCTAGTTCCTTCCCCATCTTTCCACCAGTGTCCTCTTTCCCCATCCCCTCT